TACAATGAACATACTGACCTTTGCTGCACGGGCCTGACCCCCAGAAGGTACTTTCTCCGCCAAACACTGCCATCTGATATTCTCGAATAAGCAGTGTAAATTCTCAGTAACTTTGCACACGGAAGCCCTGGTCCAGGTTCTTTCAAAAGATTGGGAACTTTGAACAGAAAACTCGCTACTTTGATGTTTGTCTGGAAGCTCGACCTCAGCTCTCGGCAAGCTCCAAATAATTTGATCGTCAAAATGTTTGGATTAGGTTGTAGTTGGCAATTCCTAACCTAATTGTGTTAGATTGCAGGCTTCTGTCTCAGGTATTCATGGGTCCGTAATTAAGGTTATTGTTTAGGTTTAGCTTCTGTTATCTCACTGATTACCGAGCCGGCAGCATATCAAGGAGGCATGTAGCTCAAGTGGAAGTATCGCACGGTAAACTATATCTGAAGCTGCTACGTATTGTAGTAGCTGAAAGAATACTGCTATTCGGAAATTATAGCTCCAACCCAGAACCGTGAGATAAATCAGGCTGTGCACGCTAGATATAGAATGGCCAGCGGATATGGTGAATATGGGGGTAAATACGTAGATATATAAAGACATTGTAGCCTCTAAGTTGTAGGACAAGTCTCCAACCAAATTACATCGGAATCAATCCTAGCCTCTCATAAAGCAATCTCATGAATCTATTTCCGTGTCTATGATAACAGACCCATATACAAAGTCGACGACCAAGTCCAAAGTCGATTGCAAAAACAACTCAACGTGGAGGGAAAAGAGGTAATAGGTAGCTTCTCCACCAGAAATCTTCAAATTTAAATTGATCGGATTCTTTTTTTTGGTACTTTAATGTGCCAAATTAGCTATTAGAGCGACTTTGCGCTCATGCACATATTTAGACAAGTGTGGGGCCGTATCGGATCAGATTGGCTGTCGGACCACGTCCCACTTTAGTGACAAGGTTCACCTGACCTATATGTAATCTGTTGAACACGTTACAGCCCTACAGCCCGTCCCCTTCGACTACATGAATTTTTCACGCGCCTTTGCGCCCTTCTGCATTCTACAAATAGTGTTGTCTAGCCTCAGCCACCACGCACTTGAGCCTTTAGTTTAAAAAGCTGCCTCTCTTGCCAGTCACATGATATGTGTCAGACTCGAGGCTGCTAAAGGTAGCGTCAAGAGAGTTACTGAGTGACTCGGGTAACATCTGAGGAGGTTGACAAGAGTCAAAGGTTTGAATTCATAACTTTAACTATAACTAAGGACGGGGGACGGGGGGAAGTAGGACAGGATACAAGGCCAGTGGAAGACGGAAGACAAGACATGGCCCTCTACTGCGGCTCTTTCCAATCGATATATACATCATAGTAACCAGAACAACCTAGGCCTCAACGGGTAAATCTTCTACTACTTAATTACTCAATTCCCCGGAATACCCGGCAAATTTCCCGAAAGAGTGATTAATCCACTTCGAAGTATCCAAAGAAGGTGCCCAAAGATCGTCACGGGAGCGTATAATTCGACCAGCAGCAAGGTACTTGAGCATGAGACCTCTACCTTGCCGATGGAAATCTATCTGAAACAAAGGATAGTCCAACACGCCGGACTATCGAAAAGCCTGCCTGTTCAAGATACGATATTGTCAGCACTCAGGAAGATAAAGCAACCCCGAGCTGGAAGGCAAGATGCACGAGCTGTCACGAGGACCTTGGATATTGCGGAGCGGGGTCAAACAGATGGGAATATGGAGACGAAGGCACGACAGAAAGCGGCTAGAAAGGTCGCGGCCTTCAAAGAATGGGAACGATCCTGGACGAAACAAACAGCAAAACAGCCTACTAACCATCAAGCGACAGCAGATACCAAAATCCGGAATGCAGCAAAGATCTTTACAGATGAAAAGACGAGAAAGATAGGAATGAGCCAACAGGAACACCTCCCAGTATCCATAAACACCTGAGCAGGGCCCAGAGCAGCATATCCATGCAGATAAGAAGCGAACACATTGGGTTCAATCCCTATCTGCACAGAAGAAAAGTTCCAGGAGTAGATAATCCACGATGCCAATTTGGATATCCGTCCCAGAATGTGAAGCATATGATCATGTGACGGGCTATTACCAAAACAATAAGAACAAATTAAGCTGGCCGTCATACAGTCTATTTTCTAATTATCTAGGAAATGGTATCTATCTAGGCTGTAGGACATACATACATGTAGCTCTGACCCCAGGGAGGTTAATATCCATCGGATCGGAGATCACCTATAATCCCGTAAAAGAACATCGGCGATTAGTACATAGATAGGCACAATTACATGGATGTAAGGCGCAGCCTGTAATAGATCATGGACTGAACCAGCTGGGCTAAAGGTAGAGGAGAAATACTGAGAAAGACAGAGAAGCGGTCATTTGAGGCCATGATGAGCAATCCCAAAGAAATGCAAGGATAACTAGATGGATCCAGCAGGAGGGAAGGTTAGAGCAGTTTCGGCTGATGCTTGAAGTCGAGGCCACGATGAGGGAGAGAGAGGAGAGAAGGAGAAAGATGATCTCCTGCCGGTAGCAATGAAGTGGACGGTATCCGCACTGGACATAACAGTGCTAGTGAACTTCGTGAAGGTAACACACCTTTAAAGTGTATGTAAATTGAAAAGTTGAGGGGGCTCTTACCATTGAGGTTTCTTTCTATATAAATATTAGAGTTCGTAGACACCTGCATGGCCCTTAAGGCGCCAAATCGGGCTAGATGAAATCAAAATCAAAAACTCAAATCGTAACCCGTGGCAACCATGACAACCATTGTAACCCAGTAACCATTCTCAGGTAAGTAAATATTTGCAGACTGTGTCAGGAAAGAATACGTAGGTGCTACTCTATCTTCAGTTCCTGAAAATACTGCTGCTAAACCCCTTTTTCTCTAGGCACATCTGCCATACCCGTTGAAGCCGTTTCGTAGATTCCTGCCACGGTTCGAGTGTCGATGCGGGAGCAATCAGATATACGAAGGTAGTTTTATAATTTTCTCTATAGCTAACTATCATAGTATTACTTCAACTATTTATAAATCTATGAAGAACTCTAGAATACTCGTTCTTGATTGATATCTGCTTCTCGTATTTTCCAGTCATAGTAGTTCCCAGCCTTGCTACCAATAACTAGAATATTCCTGTTACAGCTGAACTGATCTGGAATAAAGCTAGACTACTGTAGAATTATAGAAGCACGTGAATACAATCACGTGCTACACAACAATCGGCTCACAAGCCGTTACAATTCCATTGACTTTTATATATACTAGGAATAGGTTCTAGTCGCCTTCCTCAAGCATGAGGTTTAGTGGCGATGCTCTTCGCCGACAAATAGTATCTCGCTGTGTCGCCAGTGCTTTTCTGAATTCTACTAGGTGACCAGCCGATATTTCGCGCTTGCATTCGCAGTTAAATAATTTGACCAGATATTTACGGGGCTACTAGTTTTTTTATGGTTTCAGTTTTCATGTGTAACTGCATATAATTTAATCAACTAAAATCTCTGTAGTGGTTTGCGCGGCTGAATCAAGTTGGGCTTGTCATCGAGATAAATAGAATCGAATTGAAGTCCATACTTTGTCTATGACTATGAAGGATGTCACCAACATGATTTTTGCTGTGAACACTGTTCCTCTTTGTCTCCAGGCAAAGTCCTCACTCGATCATACACTTAGAGGGGCCCTTTGCCCTTCATCATCTCCCCTCTCCAGCCAACGAAGCGATGACCATTTGCGGGTATATGGCAGCCGGGAAAATTCGCAAAAGCCACTGGATGCGGGGTTCTTCTAATACCGACATAAGGAATAGATTCGAAGACATAGTAACCCTTTGAAGCGTTCGAAGAGACCGACCAGCTGGGCGCTGCAGACTTGTGGGTACCTCGGGAAATTTAACCCCTGACTTTCTAGCCTCCTTCCAACTCCTTCCCGATGATTGTGCTGAAATGTCAGAAAAGTCTTGACAGAGCGTGATTGCTGTATAGTAGCTTAGCCCAACTTCTTTTGTACCGTCCAGGGTGCTGGAGAATGCCGTTGACTCATCGGCAATAGAAGCTCTCCTGGCTAGTTTGCCGAAACCTTAGTCTTGGCGCCCACAAACGTTCCAAGGTTGGAAACCTCTCGAAAATATCAGTCCCAGCATGATATTCAAAGACCTGTTCCCCCTCTCGCTCCACATCTCAGCCGCCTGCTCCCTCTCAAGTTGTTTGTCTCATTAGAGCGGCAGTCTCCCATAAGCCAGGATCCAGGCTTTGTATTTTTCGACTTGATGTCCTCCGTGCGGGTATAAATAGCGCCGTAAATTTGTAGTGAGTGATGGCCGGTGATGAATGAGGCAAGCTCCTGTTTGCAATTGGGGTGACGCCTCTATTGGTCGTCGAGGCGAAATAATATGTGGTTAGAAAGAGGTTGAGGACCCAGAAAATAATGATAAATGCTGCATGATTGAGAAGTCGTCAAATGGAGATATGCATGTGTTTGCTTTCGACTTCGATTCGGATGCGATTACACCAACACCGCTGGAAGGCGAAGAATTCGTCTTTGCCGGCATGACCAAAGACTAAGTTGGGATTAAAAATTTAAATCGATTCCATTTTAGATGCTATAATTGGAATTGGCGTGCCTTGCGCCTAATGAGGTGTAAATAAATACCGGAAGATAGTAACTCCGTAGAGTTCAAACGAATTGGCCTATGATAGTTTCTAGATAGGAGCCAAACAGATACTCGAGGACATCTGGATAATATTTCCTATATCTAGTTCTCAACAAACAAATCGATACCGAATCCATCAAATAAATTAACAGGATTTTACAACCAAGATTACTCAAACCAATAAATCGCAAAAGTATCATCGGAGATAATTTTAATTGTAGGATCGCAAAAAACTAATAGCGCGCGCAACTTCTCTCTGGGCGCCTCTAGAAATTACAACATTCGATCAACGCGATATACCCGTAGCTTACTAAGCTTTTAAAATGAAACCTACAAGGGCACTTACGAAAAAGATATCAAGATTAGCCTTGACTACAAAACAGACGAATAAAGGTTTCTACAAAGGAACAGGTTCGGGGTCTATGGGGGATCATACAAAGCATGGTGGCTTCATCATAAATTGGGAGAAAGTAAGGACATATGTTCCACCCACAAAAGATTTAAAAGATTACAAGGCATGTTTCTCCTGGACTCTATCCGGTTTAGAATTCTTAGCTCACAAATCAAAGCTCACCCCTTTCGTCACAAAGAAAATTTGGGCACCTAAAGGAAGGTTTAATGATTCTAAGGGACCACTGAGTGGAGAACTGTACTTAGCACGATGGAAAGCAGAAAATGGATCAGATTAAGGACTTTTAATTTGCATGATTCATTAAGTACACAAGTGATCACGGCAGTGCTACTTTGACCATTGTCAGGTGTATGGTGTTAAGGGCCAAAATTTGCAAAGCTAATATCCACGTCACACAGTGATAGGTCATGTTTTTTCTACAGAATATTCTAATCTGTACATTAAAAATGTTTTAAAAACAGGAATTAATTCCATCGTTGCTCATCAGGTAAAAAAATTCATCTTAAATTGTCCCGAGATGACACTACGACAGTTCTTGGAGCTCAGCGATTAAATCTTAAGAACACACCAAGATCCCTAATGGTGATATTCCTGGCTCATAATTTTCGCTGGTCACCAAACAGCAAGCTTATAAGTCAAAATCCGTTAAATCATAGTAAACATGATTTGAAATTGAAGCATTAGACTATATTAGTTGAATTAGTCACATAATGGAGCAATCCTACTTGAGACACGTACAATACTTGAGTGAAGTTTAATACCATGAGGAGTAAAACTTGTTCTGAATTCATCACAAGCAAAGTTTAGGATAATCTATAATCGGCTATGAAACCTAATCAGCTAAGCTTGTAATTTACATCCAAAAAGATTCTCATAATACTAGTTAAATGCTAAAAAATAGTAACAGATTTTGATTGAAAAATTCCCAGGTAGGGTTCACAAAGTCAATTGTTGCACTTGATCAAGTGCAACCACCTGATATATGATATTTTGTTGTTCTCTACCAAGAGGAATGGGTGATTATTCTCAACATCTGTCAACGGTATCCCCTACGAACCTCCAGCCCTCACTGTAGAGTCTGCAGAGCCGAGATTGAGTAACAAAGTCCTCACTTAGATGAGGATTCCCAATCGCTTTCGCTTTCGCGGTCCGCACCGTCTTCATCTCTCAACACATTCCTCCATCACCATTATCATGAAGCTAACCACGACCAGATCCGATGGTAGGGTCAGAGCCCTACTCATCATCCACCCTTTGATCATGGTGGAAAAGCCACCCGATGAGTTTCCGGAGCGTACCCAGCACCCGATACGGAGATGGCGGATTGGATCAAATCGACCTCGACTGTTACAAAGAAGGGAGATATAGATGAATATGCGCACCTCATGTGGTCCCGGTGTCTAGGCCTCGCCTGGCTGGGTCTGTAGGCTTTTTGAGACTTTTCCCGCGCACGCAGTTTCCATTGCTACCTTTTTTTTTTTTTTTTTTTTTTTTTTTAGGAAGAAGGTTCCGTGGAAAAGGTGGCCGAGTTCCAGGGGTAAAGACTGAGCTGAATTGCTATTCATCACGGGCAATATATCAATGATCTTTTAAGAAACATGAGAGGCAAGGAGCACTGTAAAAGGTGTGGCCTGGGCCAGAGAGAAGCTCAATGAGCTAGATAGTTTATGGCTCTAGTAGTAAAATAAAAATTCTTCTCCATTCAAAGCGCCAGCAAAGACTAATTATTCACCTCAAAGTGGTTTCTGTGAAGTTGCTCAGTATGCCTTGAATATCTGGGATAGCCAAGAAGAATCGCATCCGAATCAAAGTCGAAAGTAACCTCAAGCATATCTAAAGTCGACGACTCATCGTCAATATCGGATCTATCATTCTCTCGCGAGTCCTCAACCTCAATCTTACTACATCATCTCGCCTCAAATACCGATAATGGCGTTACTCCAATAGCAATCGGGCATTTGCCTCATCAAAAACCAGCCATCTCCTACTACACATTTACGATGCTATGTGTACATACGAGGAGGAAATGAAGGCATAATCTACAAGGCTCGGGTCTTGGTCTTTGGTTGACCGTGCTCTAATGGAGCTTCACATCATGATGGAGGAGAGGCAGCCGGGACGTGGGACGAGCGATTGAAGAGAACACAAATGGGTATTCTGGGACTCACACTTTTCGAGTATTTTCGACTTTAAGGTGCCTGTGGGCGCAGAGGCAACGATTTTGCATAGTCGTCTGTCCCCTTTTTTACTACTCTCCCGTGTTCCATCACGTGAGATATAACTGCTCACTGTAAAGTCCGCAGATTGAACAGCGTTAGATCACGACAAATACCACACTCTCTTAGAAAAACAGGTGTCAGGCGCAGGTTCACTAGGCGCAAGACTAGAGGCGTAGGAGAGGGCGTAGCGTACGATGTACTGAGGAAGGACGCCTCGTGGGAACGCGGAGGGCTTTCTAGAGAAGTGGTAAATGGGAAAGCGGAGAGTCGTTGTAGAAAGAGGGGCCGGAGGTGACAGTAGGTCACTATGGTTGGCAGAGGACGAGAGTGAGATGTGATTAGAATAATGTAACTATTCCTAAAGACAGGAAACAAAGCGTGAAGATCTCAGTATCCAAAATGAAAACTACATAAGTATCCTCGCTAGGCGATAAGCCTGGTGGTGGAGGGCAAGACTGAACACCTGTACGCGGTGTCCTCTACGAACCTGGGAGTGAAATATTCTCCCAGAGCCAAGTTCAGTCAAATTTCGCAGAATCAAAGAAGTTGGCCCACGAGGCAAAATTTAAAATTACTCCACGACGTCGTTTTCCGCTCCCAACGAGTTTGACGCCTACCTAAGTCTTATTAAGTCTACAAGTACGACCTAGTACATCCTCATCCCAATGACCACACCTCTCTTCGACCTTCTCTGGTCTCAGTTGACCACCAAATACACGCCCACGCCGATATTTATACCCGACGGAGGAAGCAAAGCGTGGCGCACAAATCTGGGAGACAGTTCTTTGGGATGGACGTGAGAGGGATCAGGACAAGTTCACAAGATGATGCAGAAGAGGGAGACTTTCTCGACGGGCGTGAAATATCGAACTTTGGCAAGAGTTTTACGAATTGAGCTTTGTGCGCGCCAAGGCTTCGCTTGCGAGAGTGCAGCTCACACTATAAAAACAAGCAGACGATGGAAGGTGTAGTGATCCGCCTCCTGGTGGTGTTCTCTAGTATGGTTTGAGTAGCCTGGGCACCTACTCCACTTGGGAAAGAGACACCTCAGATCATATTTCGCGCGGAGAAAAGTTGAAAGATGATGAAGGCATGTCTGGATAACTCAGGGTTTTTGAGAGGTTCCCTTGGGTGGGTATTCACGAATGAGGGTTGACTTGGGGTGAAGAAAAAGCCACCATAACTTCGCAGTGGTACTTTCAAATGAAATCTGAGGCATGAGTGCTCTTCTCTTACGTTGAATCATCTATTCTGTACTTTTCTTTGATATTGTGTCATAGCTAGATAGCTGCATACGCAATTAATATCGTGTGCAAAAAAGATAAAGCCTAGTGGTGTTAAACAAGAAACCCATAAATCCTGCCTGAGGCATTTTTACATGATCCTTACAATGTATAACTTTAGGGACATATTTCGATAGAAAGAAATATCAATATATTTGTAAGTATTTGTTCTTTTTCTTTATAGACCATTCGTTTTTGATATAGCGATGAGCACATATATATATGGAGAACTATAATCTTTGTATAGTGCAGAAGCATGAAGTTTACATTTAGTGTTCTAACTATGTATATATACTTGTGTTACGTAATAGTTAGTCACGTGGAATATGTTACATATCCATTACACCCCCAGAAACTGAATGCTTTAGATGAAAATTAATTTGATTACAGAATGATGAATGTTTTAGACGTTGCAATGATTTTGTCAAGCCATCTGCTTTGCAAATGTCTGTAGGGGTATATTTTAATTTTATCAACCCATTTTGAATCGAATCTCTAAGTGTTGATTGTCGCATTAGAAAATGTCGATTCCTTGCAGATATTTTATTGGAGTTAGCGGTAATCATTGCGGCAGTGTTATCAATTTCTGTTGTAATGGGTGAAATTTTTGTTTCGAATAGTTCTTCATACAAAGGCTTAATCCACTGCGCAGCAACAGTTAGGGTTGTGAGAGCGGTATATTCTGCTTCACAAGTACTTTGGGCAGTGACAGATTGTTTCTTAGACCACCATGCAATCGGAGTCCCATTAATAAAGAAGAATATCCCCGAGGTTCCTTTTGGAGAAGTGGAATTTCCCCAACTGCTATCTGATGATGCTGTGAGTTCATGTTTGTTACATTCGGGGAAGAATAGAGTAGCATCTTTTGTTCGAGAGACATATCGGATGAGATGTTTTAGTAATAGAAAGGCATTTTGCGAGGGATTTCGTACATAGCGACAAAGCTTGTTGAATGCGTATTGGAAATCAGGTCTTGTTGTATTTGCGATGTGTAAAAGCGCCCCGACAGCTGAACGATATAATACCGATTCAGGATTTGAACATGAATTATCTGTGTCACGATCAATTATATTTTCGTCAGAAATTGGAGTGTTAGCTCCTCCACACTGAGCCATTCCTATATCGCTACAAAGAGCTTCGATTTTATCTTGTTGATTGATACGAATACCATCTAGCTCATTCTTTACAATACCGAGAAAGTTGTCATCTGACCTAGATCTTTAAGTTTAAAAAATTTAGCCAATGCAATGACTGTTTTATCGATTTGAGCAAGGGATGTAGATAGTATCATAAAATCATCAACATAGGTTGAGATTATTGTTTTCCCTCGACGAAATACATTTGTATCATTTTTAAGTGGTTTAAATTCTAGGTCACTTAAAACTTGTCGAAGTTTTAATTGCCATCGTTTTGGTACTGTTCGTAAGCCATAAATAGCCTTTTTAAGCTTGCAAACTAAGTCTCCTGGTTGTTCTCGATTGTGGGGTTGTTCATTAAAAATAGGCTGATCAATTGGTGCGTGGAGAAATGCTGCTGTAATGTCGACATGACAGATGATGAGCTTGTAAGTTGCTGCATAAGCTAGAAGCATCCGCAATGTAGTTGGAGGAAGGACTTCGGCATAGGTATCGTCAGCAAATGGTTCTGAAAAACCACGAGCGCACCATCTTGCTTTTAATTGTCCGTCTGGTTTTTCTTTCAATATCCATTTCCCAGTCATTATTTTACCTTTTGCTTCAGATTTAGGTACAAGCGCCCAAACCTCGTTTTGTGCCATATTTTTGATCACATCATCCATGGCTTTATCCTATTGATGACCTCTATTTCCTGTTAGTAATTTGACGATCTGTATTATGTATTGCTAGAATATTAGTTTTTAAAGGAAAAGAATTGTCATGGAAACGAACGTTACGGCGTACTATTGTTCGATGAGTTTCTGTGTTTAAAATAATATGACCTCCTGTAAATTCAGTACCAATATAAATTCTTTCCCTTGCCTTGGATTTTAGTTTATTTTGATCAGGATCAAGCCAGAATGCTCGACAACCGAATGGATGAAGATGTTGGATGACGGGCAATTTGTTATAAACAGCGTGATACGGTGATTTAGGCGCAATTCTGTTGGGAGTTATATTGAGAGAGTCAATTGAAGCAGTCAGCATTAGAGGCCATAGTTTTAATGGTAATCCAGATTGCAGATCAAGTGTTCGCATTTTCTCGGTAACTGTTCTGACATTTCTTTCGACAATACCATTTTGCTCTGGAGCATGTGAGGAAGATTTCTTCCATTCTATTCCACGGGAAAGAAGTATTTCTTGAAGATTGGAATTTGAGAATTTTGTACCACTATCAGTATGAATAACTTTAGGTGTTATTTGAAATTTTGTCTTTAAATTCTCGAGCAAATATCGAATTTGAGTAGGGACAGTTTTCTTAGAGTAAATCGGCCAAGCCCATTTCCAAGATGTGAACTCGTCGACTGAAAGCAAAAACCATGTCGCATTTGGGACAGATTTATCAATGGTTGTTGGGAAAAGAGACTTTTGGCCACCAACTAGATCCATGTGTATAATCTCACCAAATGATGTTGCATTTCGAAGACTACCATGACCTTTGCATTTCGTAATTTTAGCTTTAATACATGTTTCGCAATCAGGATGGGTCTTAAAGTTCTTTATTCCTGCATCTTTTAACATGATATCTTGGGCATGCTGTCCTGGATGACCAAGGATAGTATACCAGTCTCGAGTAACTGAATTCACTGAAGATTTTCCAGTACTAGATTTAATGGGCCTGTACAATAATCTGCCAGATATGCGCTGAGATATTGCACAAACAGAGCCATTGGGACGGATAAGCTCAATATCACCGTAGTTTGATGGCCAACGAATGGAGAAGCCTTGTTTTTCCAATTGTGCAGTGGAGATAATACACTGATTCTGGCCTGGGATATGGATAGCTCCATGAAGTTCATCTTTTTGATCATTAATAGATAGAAAAATTAGATTGCCATGACCGATAGCTCTAACTTTATCACCACCTGCGACTTGAACATTTATGAGAGAAGTAGAATAAGAAGAGAAGTCATCTTTTTTTCCAGAAACATGATAGTCTGATCCAGTATCCAACTGGTATGAATAATTACATGATGCATTTGCGATAGAAAGGACTTTATTATTGCCATTTTTATTACGATCTTTAGACGCATTCTTTTTCTTCCTACACTCGTCTTCAATGTGTCCAACATTTCCACAGAAATTACACTTTCCTATTTTATTTTTGAGTGGTTTTGGTTTGTTACTAGACTTAAATTGATAACATTCAGCAACAAGCTCTTCAAACGAACAATTTCGACATCGAATTGCAAGGTTAGAGTCCAATTTTTGTAAACTACTTATTAGTAAGTACTATTAATTGGGAGGACTTCTATCGCAGTATGACTGTATAGAAGACGATGGAATTAGCACAGTGGATTGAGGTCAGATAGAATCAGATATTCGAGTTAACTAAAAGTGTACTAAGATCGAGACAGCCAGACTCCTAAATACAAATTTTCCTCCATGCGACTGATCTGCATGAATAGCGTAATTGACGCGACTCATGTGTTTGACTCTGCCTGACTCGGATTGCTCCTGTAGCAGCTAGACACACCTTGTAATTTAACAAGTACTTCATTTGACGTTTTAGTTCCAGTGTAATCGTGTTATTTTGCTTGAACTCATTAAGACGTCTTTCATATTCTACCAAAAACTTCGATTGTGACATGTTGTTGCTGGGCTGAAAAGTCCAAAATCTATTAATGATTTCAATTAAATTTGAGCGCATCGCCGCCTGTGTTTGACTGACGATGGTGGTTAAAACAAAAAGAGGAGTTTCATTGTCATTTATCTTGATGTGTGAAGCTGATTCTTTTAATTTAGTAGCCCACCACGCAGACCATATTATGACTGCCTTAGTAGATGGTGTAACAGGAAGGAAAACACAGGCTGTTTCTGTGACAGAAATTAGCCATTTTATTGATTCAAAGTGTTACAGGCTAGTGCCTTATTTAGTTATAACCGGAGTTTATCCGGTTTATTTATCGAGAAGTCTTAGAGTACATGGCTTGGCTGGATTAAGGAGTTGTGTAAAGGATAACACCTGCATAAATCCATACGCGACGCGCGGTATCGAGTAGATAAGCATATAGTCTTCGTAGTACTTCTTTCTTTATACAGAATATAAACTAATTTACGACACACATTCATGCGAATAGCTAATGTGATTAGTCCCTTCACACAAAGTGGGAGTTCCAGTTTGATGAGGTTAATTTCGGAATAGTACATATTTTCTCAATGTTACCGAGTCGTTCTGTCAGTGTCCAGACTTCTGTTTTTCTGTGCGCTTCCTTTAAGGAGGTTTTGACATCGTCTGATGTAGCAAATATGATGTTATTCATTTGCACATAATCAGGTACAATAGTATCATTAGATATAGGCTTTGCCTCGATAGAGGGCTTTAGTAATTCTGACATTTCGAGTGCGTGAGTTGCTGCGCGTACGTGAGAAAGGTAGGGCAAAGATGGAAGCACAAGAGAAAGATGTCTTGAATTAGAGTGACGTAGTGCAGCGGAAGTTATATAGGGCCATAACCTGTAGTGCAGAAGCATGAAGTTTACATTAAGTGTTCTAACTATGTATATATACTTGTGTTACGTAATAGTTGGTCACGTTGAATATGTTACATATTCACAACACTTTGTTCTACTTCCAGTATTAAAGAAATGTCGCAGTTCCAAATAGAAAACCTCATCTCAACAGCTGAAGCTCTGTCTCCGGTGAGAAAATAGACCTTTTAGCACGCCCTAATTAAGTTGTCATATGCCCAGAAATGTCTCTATTCCGCATCACCCCTTGTCCTACTCTCTTTAACACAAATCGAAGCCTTAAACTCCCTAAGTTTGCGAGGTAACAAAGCGCTTAGAGATTACAATAAAACCTGTCGTATGGTAAAGGAACTCAGTCTTTCCAAAGTTGAAATAACGAGCACAAATAAAGATCTAGGATTACAGCTTCTTTGGGGGTTCTGAGTGTATATTATGTCTGTTCTTCAACTTTGTTCTCAAGGCGCGTTGACCACGCTCGTTGGATAACTTGATAGAAGATATCCAGCTAATTCATTTATATTTGTTTTTGTTTTTGATCTGGTAGGGTTAGAATTGACTCCAGAAAGTGTTTTTTTTTCAACTCTTCTCCAACGCGAGCCTGCCAACTTCTGTTTAATTGCATGTGATGTATCAGTTTCGGACACCCATAATCCCGGGAATCCTTCACTATTACTATTCCAGATTCTAAAATCAGTACCGAGTGCGAAATAAAGAATAGTGGCTCCGTTTTGTGACTCATCGCCCAAGTTTGTGAGGGGATACCATGCGAAATCATCTCTCTGTTGAAATACATGAAGGTGTCCTCGACACCAAGCAAGAGCAACCATATTCATAGACCGACTTTTACCTTGAAAAATAGCTGAGTGGTCAACTAAGCCTTGCAGCAGAAATGGGTTATCAACATTTATTGTAATCTTTACATTTTTATTAAATGGTAGATACTGGCTCCATCTTCCCACTAATGATATAGAACCTTTGTTTGCCAAACTGATGATCGATTTCGGGGTGCATGCCTTATTTTTTTTTCGGACCACTGACCATAGTATCTCATTCGATCCTTCTTTGTTGTACTCTGATTGATGCAAGTAGGATAGACATTTTTCATCAATCTTATCCTCCAAGATATCACCGCGACATGACTGCAATTTACAATCAGTCATTCCTTGCTTGAGCTGAGTGACTATCTCTTTACTTTTTAAAGTGGGCGAGCAATATAAGGCATAAAATGTGGCGGGATATGTAGCCGAGAGATAGCTTGAATGTACATCATCATAATCTTCGGGAAGCTTAGCCGCCAATCTATTCGAGCGTATGTCACCAGACGGTTTGGGAAGTTGTAAAATTGAAGATTCGAAAACATCATAGTGAGGCCCTGAGGGATCATTGCCCACCATTACTATTCGACCTGGGGCTTCTGTAATCTCTTGTAACTTCAGAAGAAAGGCGACAACACATGCCATAATATTGAGCTGCGGTTTTCTTTTCGCGACCCACGCGCTGGTAAAATTTTATAGTGTAGAGTCTTCTAGAGGTGCCCAAAGAAGCTTTTGTGATTTTGTCGATATATCATGCCGTGGGTCTTGAACGATAGTTGTAGCAGCTCGGAAAAAAGCCTGATATTAAAGTTTCATTGCCAATTCCCGCCGCGGCAGATTCCCAATTTTTCGTTCATGCTACGCGAATCCTGACTAACTATTACTCTATAAATCAAGCTTAGTAGATGTTTCATTCTACAGTACGACCATGAAGGAAGGATGACTTTTCAAGGGTACATACCACTTTGTTTACAAATAGTCAATGCCTTGTCTGATCATGGGCACCCAAACTGTTATCGGGTTTAGTCAGAGCAAGGCATATGCTGCTAGTCGCATCCCATTGTAACTAATCTTATGACAGTAATTACTTGTTCTCTCTTATCTCAGATCCAATTTTTGCCAAGTGAAAGAAAAAGCATTTGAGCCTCATGTATCTAGCTTTGCTATCAAGGCTTGATACTAATATTTTATCTTCTTGATTACTTGTATGCCTATGTAGGAAAGCGTGATCCGTCCCTGATCTAGTCAGTCGCATTGAGTAGGAGCGGCAAATGCAAAGAGCAAAGAATGGAATTTGAGAATCCTTCGGCTTTGATCTTATTTCATGGGCAAAAATTATTCAGAATCCAGCTTTAAGGTAATTTAATTAACCATTCCAAGAATTGCGTAGCAATCTCACCCTGTCATCCTGCGGCCTTTGAAATTCTGCAATTTCAAACGCACATTAATGTTAGAAGCTACAATAATTAGGTCTGTTGAATGACTTTGATACCAGTATTACTAGGTCCTTGTTGTACATGTATGTCTGTATGGTATATCATCTATATGTATCGTAGCTACTGCTATCCGAATGAAATAATTTTTTTGCAATGCTGATGTGTGCAGAACTTATTCAGAACCTTGCACGGGGGCACTACGATCCGAATCTTCTAGACCCACACTGTAAAGTAGGCCACGTTATTGACATACACGTGACAACAAGCCCTCTACTTATCTTCACTTGGGTAATCAATTACTTTCTAGCACTCTACAACAAAGACTAGCTGGACGAAGGCTGAACACCTGTCAGTGGAGTCCTCTACGAACCTGGGAGTGAAATATTCTCCCAGAGCCGAGATTCAGTCACGACAAAGGGTGGGATGAAATTTATTTGATGGATTTTCGACTTGAAGGAGTTGCACTCGATATTTTGGTCGAAAAATCAGTCGGCAGAGATTTCACAGCCGGAACAACGTCGAACAAAAAGATATCACCACCAACATACGATTCACGAATGGGCCTAGGTCTAACTGGGGGTCGTATTCAAACATCCGACATCTCTTAAACTCCTTTTATACTTGCGACGAAGCATGTCTCAATCAATCCTACACCTGCGACCTATCTCCATACCCGTCCGATCACCTACCTACACACGCTCTAATGAGGAAAGTCATGATGGAAACGGGACGTGTACAAAGGAGGAAGAAGAGGGAAGACACACCGAGGGGATTACACAAATCCCCAATGACGAAAACAACCTAACGGTACGATATGAAGGTGCAAGGCTAGAGCAACGATGAGATCTTGGACGGCAATTATATTTCGGAGTCAATGAGGATGTCAAGGGCTCGGGCGCATTGTGGCCGAGTCTGAGGAGGAAATCGCGCTACGGCGTGTATACAGCGGGTTTCTGGACGGTCGGGCTTGGTATGATTCAACACATAGGTGAAGTCTGAGGTGGTCCGGTCATTAAAGTGGGACGAGGTTTATCTGTACTTCACGGTAGTTAACCTGATCCGGCCCAACCCCACACGTGCTTAAGCTCCAATAGGAGTGCAACGGTAGTCATGTAACCTAGCACGTTAATGAACAAAACAAAACAACAAAGACTAGATTTGCTCCCCGCTCAGGCGCTGGTAATGCCGATGCCTTAAACGAGAAACTGGCAACAGTTGATCTGTCTAGGACTGCTCCCATTGAGAAGTCCTCGCCCTGGACGTCCCATGGGATTGAGAATTTCCCTCGGTTTTACGGGACGATCAACCAAAATATGCACACCTGTACGCGGTGTTCTCTACGAACCTGGGACTGAAATATTCATCCAGAACCAAGTCCAGTCAAATTTCGCAATACCAGAAAAGTTAGCCCACGAGGCAATAATTCAAAATACTCTGCCACGTCAATTTTTCACTCCCAACGAGTTTGACGCCTACCTAAGTCTCATTAAGTCTACAAGTACGACCAAGTACACCCTCACTCCAATAACCACACCTCTCGTCGGCGTTATCTGGCCTCAGCCGGTAACCAAATACACGTCCACGCCGATATTTACACCCGACGGAGGAGGCAAAGCGTGGCGCACAAATCTGGGAGACAACTCTTTGGGATTGGCGTGAGAGTATTCAGGACAAGTTCACAAGATGATGCGAAGAATGGATACAGCCTCGATGGGCGTGGAATTTTGAAATTTGGAAAGGAGCTTTTACAAATTGAGCTTTGTGCGTGCTAAGGCTTCGGTTGCGAGAGTGCAGGCCATAATATAAACACCGCTATAGTGCGGTGGCATATCGTCTTGGCTTGTCTACCAAGTAAGATCTGGATAGCTCGGACACAAATCCCACTCGAGACAATAGATCGCTGGTTCAAATCCGGAAAAACACAACCACTTTTCTCGCGGCGCTGGTATGAATGGATAATGAAGGCATGCTTGGATAATCAAAGGTTTTGAAATTCCCTTTGGTGGCTACTTACGAAGGAGGGCCGACTGTCTGTGTAAGCAAGCGTACCTCATAGTGGTATTTGCGAATGAAATCCAGAGTATGAGTGTCTCTATCGTCAAATGAGTCATTCTACATGTATACATAGCACCGGTCATGTATCATAGCTTTATAGCTGAAAACACAAAAATAATTTAAAAAAAACAACCAAAATATGCAATACGGCCTCGAATCAGGTAGACCGAGGCCGTAACAGCTGCTATAGCAACAGCACCTAGCGCTACTCCCATCCTAGGATAATGGGACAAATCCAGACAGCCCAGATACGGCAAAGTCTGTTCGCTTTCCTCAAGTCTATAGCCGTTTTCCTCGTATTCTCTATCTCTTTAGATACCGCACTGTCACCCGGATCCTTCCTAAACGCTCGTCGCCAGTACAGTGCAAGATGTGCTGGCCCTAGCACAATAGACTCGCTTGTTCCCCTGCCCCAAGATGATGCCCTTGTGGGCCATTACAATATACAGAGAAGGATCACAATAACCTCTGCGCCGCACCGGCTGGACATACCTGCCCACCGCGATATGTTCACCGTTATGGCTCTCATCCAGTAGAAGTTCCAACTTGTGAGCTACGGCCACAACCCTATAATCCACCAAAGATAAAATCATAGGTTATTATCATCCAGAAGATCTACTCTGAGGGGCGCATACGCCGCCAAGCAGAAGCCTGATACGTTAAATCCTCTACCGCTACGCCGGACCCCAACACCTCTCATACAGAACAGCGCACTAGCTATCATACAATCTCCCAGGGAGCAGGAACATCAAGACTATCCGCAGTCGCAGCTAAGCGGACTCTTTTCTTCAACTCTCTCGAAATCTTGAAGATATCGGCCGGAGCGTCAGATGAATAGATGGAACTTTGAAAAGACAAAGGTCAACGTAGTAACCTATCAGGTTACTTTGAATCAGTTTATTTCGTATTAAATTGCCCTCTCATTCGCGGGATTGCGTTTACACTAAAGGGGTTTATTTTTTGTTTTATTTTTTTCCTGTACAAAACTTTTCCATCATCTATCATCTTTGTATCTTATTCATCGGAAACTCTCTTGAGTTGTTGAACGGGCCTCACCTCCCTAGGTTAGTGTGCCGTAGGCTTCAGACAACTGAGGCAGTAAGCCTCAGCATGCTTTGCCCATTTGGGATTTAGATAAGACGGACCTATGCCCGCATTTAGATTGACGTTTAACAAAAAACAAACAATGCGCTCTACGACCTCAATGACCAATGGGTCATAATTTCTTGATAATTATTAAAAATTAATATCTATGCATCCTAAATCACATCGAAGGCCGATATGTCATCCAAAACGCAATTCTTTTATACCCCAGCCTACACAATATTTATAGCTCAGCCAATAGAGCGCGAATGAAATTGTCTTTCGCTTAAATCTGTTAGAGTCATAGTGTAAAGGAACCTTCTGATCTGACGTGGATAACTACAAAGATTAAATCTCAATTCTGGCTGAAGCTTAGGCAGATGGATAGCACTGTAACACAGCCACGAGCCCCCTCCAAAAAAATTGAGTTATTCTACTTCCACATTATAGATGATTAGGTATCACGCTTGTCTGTAGAGGGAAGAAAGATCATATTATGATGTGGAAGCAAGGAAGACTAGTGTTTTTATATTTAGTTTTAATTGTGCATGAAGCTATTTTCAAGGAGTTGAGATATCAATAAGTCGAGAGTTCAATAAGTCAAGATTCCAATATCTCAAAAGGTCAAGATGTAAACAAATTCAATATTATCGAAGGGTTCCTAAGAATACAAGACCATAATTTGCCGAACCAAAATCATCCCAATTACCCTATATATTCCTCACTATTGTTCTCGAATTTCCTAGTATACTCTCGTACAGAATAGAATGGATTAGAATACAATAGTGCAGACAAGTACGGATTGTAACAGAGCGAAATAGAATTGAATGGAATAGAGTAGAGTAAGAAAGAATAGAAGAGAACAGATTAGGATAGAATGAAGCGAAATAGCACACATATCTTCGTCCATAATTCCTATGGATTCAGAATGGGCTCTTGGTCCGTGACAGCTATCTAGCTATGACACAATATCAGAGAAGTGTACAATAGATGAATCGATTTGAAAGTAGAGCACTCATGCCTCGGATTTCATTTGCAAGTACCACTGCGAAGCTATGGTAGCTTTTTCTT